AGCTCAGCACAACGATTAGACATATGGAAACTGTTAGCCTAGCTTAGCACAAAGATGAGGCATAGAGATATTGTAAGCCTAGCTTAGCACAAAGATGAGGCATAGAGATATTGTAAGCCTAGCTTAGCACAAAGATGAGGCATAGGGAAACTGTTAGCCTAGCTTAGCACAAAGATGAGGCATAGGGAAATCTTCGACCTAGCAGCAGTATGTAGTATACATGTGGTATACAGTATGCCCACATGTTCACTCATATAGTATACATGTAGTACACATACAGTACAGTAAATTTGCATGTTGTACACAGTATGCTCACATGTTGTACACAGTAAGGTCACATGTAGTATACAGTACACAGCACAATCACATGTGGTGCACAGTACACTCTTGTAGTACACATGAAGAACATAGCATGCTACATATGAAGTACTCTGCACTCACATTTAGTACACATGAGGTACATAGTACACTCATGTAGTATACACTACACTCACATGTAGGATACAGTACACTCACATTGGTCCACACCACAGTACATGGTACGCCCTCATGAAGTATACATAAAGTACCTGATACACTAACATGTTGTACAGTACACCTACATGGGGGGTGGGGAGGGTGACTGAGAGAGAGAGAGGCTGCATGTGTGTGTTATTCACTCACATTATTTAGTGAAGTTCCACTTGAGGTCCAGCAGGTGGAGACGTGAATATTCCTTTGCTCAGTGTGAGGTCATACATGTGTTTACACTAACCTGTAGATAAAACACAGCCGTGTGGGTCATACAAACACATTGAACACATTTTAAAGTTTCATCAATTGTGATTAAAAGTATTTTAACTGATGAAAAGGCAGATCCCCACGTTCTCTAGATTGTTTATCGGTCACACGACTCGACTGCCAGCAGTGAACACAAATCATTGCAAAGACTTGACCCCAATTCTTGCTTCTGCGTCTAATCTACGCCGTAGCTCCTGCATATGTGTAGATGTGTACCCTTCGTAGAACCCTAAGCCGTACCCTGACGTGCACCTTCCCAAATTGTAACTACAGGTTGAGGCGACACAGACCGCAGGAGCTGTGCTTGGTCACTTGGTAGCATCACATGTCCTGCAGACAATATTTCTGGAATCTCCTGCTTCGCCTCACTTGGTTTAATGTTTGTACAGACCAACTCCGTATTTCTTTTTATCATTGCAGTTCTTTAAAAAAGTAATTGCTCTTCAACATCTATCAACTCCAACATGATGACACCCTTGTTCTGAAGTAAACAGATGCCAGAAAATGTGTTAATAAGCGGACTGGAAACCAGAAGAAACTCAAACAGTAGCAGAGAAACTCTACCGCCACTTACGATTCTACGGTGTAACTGAGCGACACACACACACCTTCATAAACTATGATGCTCACAACGGTGTAGGTCCTGTGTAAAGGCTACACATGTAGATGCGACACAGAACCATGAATCAGTCTTAACTGTCAGTAACCTCGTCGTCACTCCAAGAAATCTCTGCTCTTTTCACCATTGCTGTTCCTTGTTTGTAGTATTTTCTGTAACTACGCATTTAACTGCAGAGCAGACAATCTACTTCCTGTTTACACCACATGACCGGTCTGAATGTTCATGTAACTTGTGGTTGGAGCCTCAGTTCAGCTGGTGAGTTATTGGACTGAAGCGATGGTGTGTAGTTGGCCAGTTCTCACATTGGAGTGGGAGTTAGTGACTGTTTCAGATGACCTCTGACCTCCAACCCCTTCTCGTGTTCTGTAAAAGTCTCTGTACCAGGAAGTGAAGGTCTATGTGATGTCAGTCCTCTCTGTGATTGGTCACAGCTTCTCGTCTTGTCCAGTTTCTCCCCCACAGATAATAAATTCGCCACCTGCTCAGACGACGGCACGGTTCGGATCTGGGACTTTTTGCGTTGCCATGAGGAACGGATCCTCCGAGGTACGAACCTGTCGCCTCTTCCTTTGATCTGAGGGCATAATCACAAGTGACAATTATTGATTGCTTAAATTAAGAAAAAGTATTTATACTTTATCATGTTAAACATTACATTATCAATATATAATTGATGATGGTAACGTGTGTGTGTGTGCGTGTGTGTGTGCGCAGGTCATGGTGCTGATGTGAAGTGTGTTGACTGGCATCCCACTAAAGGTCTCGTAGTCTCTGGCAGTAAAGACAGTCAACAGCCAATCAAATTCTGGGACCCCAAGACTGGACAGAGTCTGGCTACACTGTGAGTACACACACTGCACACACACCATTACATACACTCAGAGAGGACTTACATGTCCACGTTGTTGGCTTCAACAGAAACACTGCTTGTTCACTTTGATTGTGGTGACGTCTATCGTTAGTGGACTGCATAATGATTCCGCTGCATTGGTCGCTCTGCGTACATCAGAACGTTAGCTTAAAAGCAGATTATGTTGTGTACCGAGCAGGAAACTGTGACTGTTGTTAAGATCATTACACCAGCACCCATCGTTGGTCACGCCCACCGTCAAGTATTAACACATGTGTGAGTCCTGCGTCACACACACACACACACACTGGTTTCTTACACTGTATCAGTGACGTGAGTGTATGATTTCATAGCACGGCAGAGGACGATGATGTCGTCACAGTGGAACTCGTTTGACCTTAAACCTTTGTGGTGAAAGATGAAACCGGATCATTCAGATCTTGTGCTCTCTCTCTCTCTCTCTCCTTAGCCACGCCCACAAGAACACGGTGATGGAGGTGAAGTGGAACCTGAATGGTAATTGGCTGCTGACGGCATCACGTGACCACCTGTGCAAACTGTTTGACATCAGAAACCTGAAGGACGAGCTGCAGGTGTTCCGAGGACACAAGAAGGAGGCAACGGGTGAGAAACCAAACCAACTTGACATCATCACTTTCTACATCACAGACTGTAAATAAAGATGGATGACATTAAGGCTCCTCAAAACTGAGGCCAGATCATCTGGACTGAGTCTGACTCAAAATGATGTAATCACCACAAGATGGCAGTGTTGGTCCACATGCCCGTCTTTGTTTATAGTCTCTGTATTCACAGTCGTGGATATAACAGAATAAAATTTGAGTGATAAACTGTTCTGTTATTTCTGTTTCTATGTTCTTAGCTGTTGCCTGGCATCCCGTCCACGAAGGTCTGTTTGCCAGCGGAGGTTCTGATGGTTCTCTGCTCTTCTGGCACACTGGGTAAAAATGACACACACACACACACACACACACTCACACTCACACACACACTCCCATGAGACTATCAATGTGTTGTGTACTGACTCAGGTGTTTGTTGTTGTCCTCAGGGTGGAGAAGGAGGTTGGAGGGATGGAGATGGCTCATGAGGGGATGATCTGGAGTCTGGCATGGCACCCGCTGGGTCACATCTTGTGCTCTGGCTCCAATGACCACACCAGGTATCCACACAATGTCTATACAACAATTATGTCTCCAAACAATGTCTATACAACAATTATATCTCCAAACAATGTCTAGACAACAATTATACAACAATTATATTTCCACACAACGACACAAGATCCTCACAACATATGTATTTCATCAACACATTGTTGGCTGTGAGTAGTGACTAAATTCATTAGAAACACCTGATGCTGTCACACTCAGCTGGGTTTTTATTTGCAGTAAATTCTGGACGAGGAATCGACCAGGTGACAAGATGAGAGATCGTTACAACTTAAACCTGCTGCCGGGGATGTCGGAGGACGGCGTGGAGTATGGTGAGTGGCAGAGGACAAAGTAGAAACACAAATGATTATGACTTAACTTCACAGCTGATCTTTGTGTGTTTGTGTTTCAGACGACATGGAGCTGAACAGCGTGGCCTCCATCCCTGGTATGGGGATCCCTGAGCAGCTGAAGGCCGCCATGGAGCAGGAGCAGAGCAGTAAGTCTCATCCTGGACCTCATGGAGTATTTGTTTTATCACATTTATTCTCCAAACCCTCATATTTAATTTGCTCAATTTAACTAATTTCCTGTTTTTAACCCTAACCCTGTTTATTGGGTCTGGAAACTAAA